CCCCCCCCCCCGCCGCCGCCGTCGTGTAAACCCACAACCACTTTGCCAACGCCATCTACATTCTTATTCGCCTCTCACAGCGAGGTGGACAAGCTGAAGGACAGGAGGTCGAGCAGGGGAGACAGGAGCCGTGACGATCGCCGCTCCTCCCGCCGCAGCCGAAGCCGCGACCGCAGCCGTGACCGCGGGCGGGGGGGCAGGGACGGCAGCCGCGACAGGGACAGGGACCGGGGCCGCTACAGCAGAGACTCGCGCGATCGGGACCGCGGCGGCAGGAGGGACTCGCGAGACCGGTTCTCTCGGTACGGCGGGGGNGGAGGGTACCGCGACAGAGACAGGGGGGGTGGTCGTGAGGACAGGGGTGGTGGAGGGTTCCAACGCAGGGACTCCGGACGGTGAGTTCTTGAACTTTGTACCCTCCCCGTTGTTTTACATGAATGTGTCGCCTACTTTGTTGTAGTGCCATGGCTGTTTAGTGACGTTGTTATGTAACTTCTCGCTACCTTCGATTGCGTCCGACACCTGAAATATTACAGACGATCATATGTGAATACATGGATGGCGGTGGGTTCAGAAAGCACGCACAATACAGCATTTGAACGTGCTCCATCGAAGGGGGGGGTTCGGAGCTCCCTCGGTGCGCTTGAAACGGAGAATGTGTGAAGGGCGATAACAGCAGTAGTCGACCGAACGGGGACCTGTGTGCCGGCATGAATACACCTGGGAGTGATCGCGGAGCTACGATCTACCACTTTTATCATCGTACCAGCGTCTGTTTCGCACGTTGAATGCTGTTGCTCAAGAATCAACCGTACTTCACTCAATTTACTGCACGCACCCCTCTCCAATACAAATTCAATGATACCAAGATTGCTTATGTTCGTTGCTTAGCGAGAGCACTGCCTGTCGGTGGTCTGGCCTGCAGCAAGCAAGACCGTTCGGTGCTATGCCCTTTCTATAGAGGCGATGGTCCCAAGGTCACCGTGCTCCCTGTGTTTATCGGGTCGGTACGGGAGTGCTTCCTTAGACCACTTCACCTGTTCCCGGCTGCCGTTTCCTGTCGCTCACCTTACGTTTTGCTTTTCGTTTCCTCTTCTTTTCTCGTTTTACCTTCCTTCACCGGGGTTCCTAAAATATCGCCGTGTGTGTGTGATCGATCGATACACCCCGGGATGAAAAACCGATTGTTGTTTGCGGGGGGGGGGGGGGGGGGAATTATCCTCCACTCTCCGAAAAGCAGTGACAGCGACAGAGGACCCCCTATGCGCGGAGTAGACAGCAGAGGTGGGGGGTTTTCCGGTGACAGCCGAAACCCTCCACCCACCGGGGGACGGGGAAGGGGCATGGTCCTTCCAGCGTGGCTGGTCGCCCAGAAGAACGCTCAAATGGGTGGACCGGTAAGAGCCTCATCTTCATCTTCTTCTTCGTGTCAGCCCGGCCGTGGCTGTGATCGAAGTGCATGGCCACAGTGTTGCTGCAGAGACGATGATGGATGAGTGAGAGTTTCCATGACTAACGGTGCAACCAGGTAAAATAGTAAAATGAATCCCACGCTTGGTGCGGGGATGGATGGAGAGGGAATCCAAAATCCAGGTTTCGCGCCGCATCTTCTGGTCATGCAATCCATGCGTTGTTGTCGCGTCTTTTCGTCGGGCTTGATGTGGTAGCGACTGTCGTTCAAGCTGCTGTGCTGTGTCTTTATTGTAGAGAGCCGCGGCCGGCGGTTTGAAGGAAGATATGAAAAGAGAGAGCGAGCTGCCGTAGATGCGGTTGTCGGCATCGGGTTTCCATGACTCTATGGAGGCATGCTGAACCGGGGAGAGATCGTGGAGCGAGCCGGAGGCGGCACGTATGCCCCCTTTGACCTCTCTGCACTAAGGAGCCACGCACAAACCGGCGAATCCTACGGCAACGAACGGCGCACTCCTGGACGCTCATCTGACCCCCTCCGCGTGTACGTAGACGAATCATATTCTGGAAAAGGGCTCCGGTGATCCTGCTTTTTCATGTCGTTCTAATGGTGTCTCCCTGTCCGCGCTCCCCCTCGCCGCCGTCTCCTCCTGTTTCGGTGTTGCTAAATTTTCGCCTTTAGCCCGCTCCCGGTGTCGCCGGGGCCCCTCCCTCGCAGCCCCCCCCCCAGCCACCCTCGTTCGGGGTCCCTCCGCCGACAGCTCCTCACAACGGCGTGGGTGCTCCTCCCCCCGCAGCCCCCGGCGGCTTCAAGCCGGATGGCAGGAGCCAGGGCGCGCCGCCGACTAGGTCGTCCGGTCAGCAGTCGCGCTTCGGACCGCCCCCCACTGGCCCGCAGCAGCAGCAGCAGCAGCAGCAGCAGCAGCAGCAGCAGTACCAACCCCAACAAGGTCAGCAGCGGCCACCCATGCCTCCTCACGGACAGCCTCAAGACGGAGGGCGCCCGAACACCCAGGTGCGCGTCGTGCCGTGTTGGCTCAAGACCGTTGTCGTTGTGCTTGAAGGAAGGCTCTTGTTTTTGCGGCGTTTGTGCAGCACAATGAAGGGCATTACACCGGGACGATGCTACCGGTGATTCAACCGACCGTAGGATCACCCGCCGTTTCTTTCGCGATTGGCAGGAGAACCATCGTTTCAGACGCAGGATCGTGTCAGATTCAGTGCCGTTCACGGTCGATCGCCGTTTATGTGTTGTAGTAGCGAGTAGCGTCAATTGCTCGCCCACAATAGTAACAATCGCTCCCTTTTTCGCGCGTCGGCACATGATTTCTTGCCTCAGATGGCGCCCGGACAGCAGCAGCAGCAGCAGCAGCAGGGAGGGAGGACCTCACAGGCAGACCAGTTCTCTAACCGTCCCCCTTCGGGCTTTGGCGCGCCCCCGACCCACCAGCCTCCCACGCACCAACCCCCTACTCACCAGCCGCCTGGCTTTGGCGCACCGCCATCGTCCGCGCCCCCGCAGTCCCCGCAGTTCCCTACCCAGCAGAACCAGGGATTTTCCACTCAGCAGCAGATCGGTGGGCAGCAGCCCAGTCAGGTGAGATCAACCACTATTAGTTGGCATTTTGTTGAACGTGGCGAACGGTGTCGAAGTGCGTTGACGTACGAACCATGGTGAAAGGTTTACTAGCTGCTGTATCGCAAGAGAATGGTTTTCGTCATCTCCTCCGCGTGGCCAGCTTCTGATGGGCTCGGTGCAATACTTGGTTCGGAATAGATGTTCTGTCGCCACGACACATGTGTTGGCTCAAGTGCGTGCGCCATCAGGAGCGGTGACGTTCTTTCTGCGTCCGTCCTTTTGATCCACGCCGTTGCCCTGTTCGCAATGTCAAACCGTTCCCGTTTTCTCAGGCGAACCAGCAAGGCTTCGTACGGGTAGCGGCGCCCGGCCCCGCCGGCGGCCCCGCGGGAGCACCCCAGTTCCTCCCTCAGCAGCAACAACACCAGCAACCCCAGTTCCCCCCCCATCAGCAGCCACCGCAGCAGCAGCCAAGTTCTGCGGCGAGCGCCCCGCAGCAGCCTCCCGTGCAGCCGCAGCCTGGTCATCAGCTCATGACGGCACCGGGGCAGTACGCCGGCGGTGCCCAGTACGGCGCTCAGCCTGCTGCGGCGACGTCGTCTACGCCGAAGCCCCAGGTTCTTGGAGTGAGCAGCAGCACTCCGGCGCCTGCGGCCGCGTCTCTGGGAGCGCCGCACTTCGACGCGTACGGTCGCCCGATTCCCCAATCGCAGCAGCAGTCTACCCAACAGCAGCCCCCGCAGCAGCAGCTGCCCCAGCAACCCCCGCTGCACCAGCCCCCGCTGCACCAACCGCCTCAGCTGGACCCCTACGGTCGTCCAATCCCCCAGGCCCAGCAACAGCAGCAGCAGCAGAAGCCCACGCAGCTGGACATGTACGGTCGCCCGATGCCCCAGCAGGCGCCGCAGCAGCAGCAGCAACAGCAGCAGCAGCAGCAGCCTCAACAGCAACCGCCGCAGCAGCAGGCAGCTACTCAGCAGCAACAACCTCCTCAGCTGGACATGTACGGTCGACCTCTGCCCCAAGCGCAACAGCAGCAGGTGACACAAGCACCGGCAACGTTTGCTCAGTACCCGCCACAATCCCAGGCGCCGACCCCCGCTCCGGCTCCAACACCGACACCGGCTCCCACCTCGGCACCGGCACCGTCGCCGGCCCCAGCTCCTACGCCTGCAGCACCAGCAACTCCAGCGTTGCCTCCCGGTTGGCAAGCTGTCCCAGACAAGAGCAGCGGGGACACCTACTACTGGAACAAGGCCACGGGTCAAACAACGTGGGACTTCCCCACCAAGTAGAGGCAGGAAGCTTAAGGGTGTTTGTGCGGTTTTGTGATTGCACAGTATTTTCTGTAGCAGGGATCGAAATGTGAAATTTTCCACGCCTGATTGTCGCATGTCCTCGTGACTGTGACGTCCGCTGCACCACGACCGCGCCCTTCGCGTGGAGATGGTGTATGGAGTGCGATTCCTTTCGAGAGACGAGATAAAGCTCACGCGTGTGGCCGTGCGCGGGGTGGTGATGCTCGGCATGCTTGTATTTCGTCGGTTTCGACGCGGGGTGGTGTTCACCGGGGTTGGAAAGGGGGGTAATCGTTTGGGCGGATATTCATCGTGCACCTGTGACTTACATCGCCGTTTTTCTCCAGGGAATGGAGAACTGTCGAATTTATTTTGCGTATTCTTTAAGGCAATCATTGTATAAGAGAAGCATCATGGATGCGTCTGTTTGTAGGTGTGCGGTACGCATGACGATGTGCCTGAGCGTGCACATGTGTGTGTTCTTTCAATTCTGTTGGTTTTGCATGACACACAACGCAGCAGTTTAGGACTAATTGATTCCTGGGTACCGAATGCCAAGGGCTATCCGCTAATGTTGCGCACTCGCACCGCCGCACAATCGTTCAAAGCAGACGAACAGGAAGGATTGCTTGACAGCGTGGGGTTGGTACGCAGGATGCTAGCTAGGGTATGGGTGGAATCCACGGCCTGGAAACAAGCCCAGGTCAGTGCAGAACAATGAAAGCAATGGGGACGAGGTCAACTGGATGTCTTCCACAAGGTGTCGGGGTATGGATTAAGCTCGGACTTGGTTTAACTATTTGATTCAGGAAGTGTGTGCTTTACAGCTTCCATGATCGTTTGCCGTGCCACATGGACCTAACAGAAAGTCCGAAACCTACGACGGCGGCGACCCGGGCACAACGCGTCATCCCTTTTCCCTCCCCCCTCGCCGCACCATGCGTTCCTTTACGCTAGTCAACTCCGTGCAAATATCCCACAAAACTGCGAACGTCCAACTCGCCGAGGGAGGCGGCGAACAGAACTAATACAACTATTGTTCGTTGGAGCCTCTAATTCGTAGCTCCAAACACACAAGTCTGTCTCATCTGCTTCTATCCCTCCGTTACGGTTTCAAGCTCCTCTACTAATACTGTGGTTCGCGAGAGCACGTTCTTTTTCTTCGGCATTGGCGCCGCGGCTTCCGGGACCTCGGCCATAAGTCGCTTCATAAACTCGTACACCCTGCATCAACAGTACAAGCACACGGACGCGGCGAAACGATCAAGCACATTGGTGGGGGGG